GGTGGATTGCAGAGGAAGAATTTTCTATGAGTAAATAACTGTATCATTATGAGCAGGGGTTTTAGAGTGAGTGCACCGTTGTGCTAGATTAAAAGTGACAAAATTGGGTAAACATTTCAGAAGTGGCCCCCTCACATCTTTAGTAATGGTGATATGTGGGAACACTGACAATAAGTAACTTAACTGCCAATGTTGCGAAAAGAACAAAATAGCATAAAAGCAAGTGTATTTATTGTTTTGTAAAGAAATCCAGACGTTTCTGGAAAGGAGTATCTTGTGATCTGTTGTGGTGTTTTAAATCCCCCTGATGGAATATATATAGGGCGTGAACAAATCATGTCTGACTTTTGTAAGGTAGTATATGTCTTTCTGGAAGGTTTTGTGTTATGTTTGTTGCTTCTTTGAGGTACGTTGATCTAACGCTTTCTGGGTTACACCATACCTCCAGAGAGAGAGACTCTCATCTCTATGCCACCTAATGTTTCTGAGAGAGATTATGCTTGCAGACTTTTACCAACCCACTGAAAATGAATGCTGGATTATTTTATCTTGCATGTTTCGGTCCCTATTCCTGGAAGATGCTGAATGCTTTCTGCTCCCTTTGTTGAAGCTAGGTGTGGGAGCTGGCATCTCTTCACCTCACAGGGTAGGGTCCTTCATGCTTTGTTAACTCCCTACCTCAGTTTAGCTCTTCTGATCAGGGCACAGCTAGATCTGTGGAACCCCGTATCTGCTTTTTAGGCCCAGAAAAGATACCGAAGGTGCAGGGAGCTATTTTAGCTTCCAGAGGGCACCTTGTCCCTAGTGTCTTTGCAACCTTATCTGGAAGGGCTCAATGCAAGGGTCTAAAATTGAGACGAGCAAGGCTAATCTGTAACTCTTATTTCACGAACTGTCAACTCACCAGATGAGGATGGAGTACTAGGTTTAGTTGGCTCTTTTCCTGCAAAGGAAGAGTGAAAAGTAAAGAAAAAGGGTTGAATCGCGGGAAGGTGACTAAATGAAGTAGGCTTTCTTAACCATCAATCAATGCAATTATATTGGCCTAACTGGAAAATGCTCCTTGTCAGTGAGTACCACAGCAAGGAGATGTGGCTACCTCTCCTAGCGAGATGATTGAGCTTCCTTGCTCTCCAAGACGTGAGTGACTGCAGGGCACTGTGGAAGGGGACCTTTGCCAATTAGTCTGAACAGAGAAATGTCAGAAGGAGCTGGGTGTGGGGGAGGGGATGAGGAGCAGAGAGCAAGGCCAATGAAGCAAAAAGTTCCCCTGGCCTTTCGACATCTAGGTACCAAAGAGTAATGCTTCAGTCATGTTTGGCTGAAGAAGCCTATGTGGCGTAAAAATGAATTATTATACCGGTAATTACCCAGGTACAGAATGAAAGCAATGACTAAAATGTACCTGTTGGTGTTGCCCCCGTTGTGGACTTAGTTGACGTAGTAGTTGGAGAAACTGTCGTCAGCGTAGTTGTTTTCACGGTGCTTAGGGTGGTGGACTCAGATGCGGTGCTCTCCGGTGAAGTACTGGTCGGGGCCGTGGTCGTCAGAGAGACGCTTGTGAGTGTAGTTGGTGTGGTGGTTGTGGTGGGCGTGGTAAAGGTAGTGGAAATGGTAGGGGTTGACTTTGATGTTGTGCTCTCTGGTGAGCTAGTGGACAAGGTAGTCGTGGTGAGAGTGAGGGTTGTGGGTGTAGTTGGTGTGGCGGTTGTACTGGTTTCGGTAGACTTGGTGGAAGGCACAGTCGTTGTCGTAGTTCTTATTCGAGGGGTTTTTGGTGAGGGCGTTGGGATGGACTCTGTTGATGCAGTGGTTTTTGAAGTTGTAGAGAGAGATGTGGTTGGTGTTGTTTTCCTGGTAGTGCTCGGTGTTACTGTGAGGGAGAAATGTGAATCGATATGGTGACGTTGACAAGAAAATGGTAGATTGCAGAGGAAGAGTTTACCATGACTAAATAATTGTATCACTATGAACAGGGGTTTTAGAATGAAGGCAACTTTGTGCTAGATCAATGGCAATTTCTTTTTTGCAAACAATTGAGAAGTGGCCCTCTCTCATCCTTTAGTAATGGAGAATGGGCCAGCGGTTGAAATAAATGACTTAATTGCCAACCGTTTTAAAAATGCACACATTTGCAAGGGTGTTTACTGGTTGGGAAAGTAGTGGGGCGGGACTGTTTAAATCATTTTGAGGGGCTAAAGTCAAGACGGATGAACAAGGCTGATCTAGAACTCTGATTTTACCCACCGATTGTGGAACTCTCCCCTTGAGACTGGAGTAGTATGTCTAGGTGACTCTTTTCATGCAAAGCAAAAGTGTAAAGAAAAGAAAAAACCTCGAATCCTGTCAGTGTGACTAAATGAAGTAGGCCTTACCAAACCATCAACCATGGCTGTTAACTTGGCCTAACTGGAAAACAAAATGAATGGACTGGAGTGCATGAATGAGAGAGAAAGCACCCACATTGTTTGACTCGTATCTGCAACCCATTTTAAACTCCCTGGGTCTGTTTCCTTTCAGCCACGTTGAGAGGAAATGGTTTCCAGGATGTGCCTTTTTCAGGAAGGTACAGAGACTGAATTGCCTCTGTGTCCGTCCCCAGGAATTAGTTTGAGTCAAATCTCTAAAGGGATCTATGCAATCCTAATGATTAAGAATCTGAAAAGGAGGTGGGATATATTGGAAGAGTGAGCTTAGTGTTGTGAGAAAAAGCAAGTTAGATAGAAAAGGGAAAATGCTGTGTTTACACCATACACTTCCCACAAGAATGGGCTTCAATCTCCTATGGGGGAGGTTTGTGTACCTGTTGGTGTTGACCCCGTTGTGGACTTAGTTGACGTAGTCGTTGGAGAAACTGTCGTCAGCGTAGTTGTTTTCACGGTGCTTGGGGCGGTGGACTCAGAGGCGGTGCTCTCCGGTGAAGTACTGGTCGGGGCCGTGGTCGTCAGAGAGACGCTTGTGAGTGTAGTTGGTGTGGTGGTTGTGGTGGGCGTGGTAAAGGTAGTGGAAATGGTAGGGGTTGACTTTGATGTTGTGCTCTCTGGTGAGCTAGTGGACAAGGTAGTCGTGGTGAGAGTGAGGGTTGTGGGTGTAGTTGGTGTGGCGGTTGTACTGGTTTCGGTAGACTTGGTGGAAGGCACAGTCGTTGTCGTAGTTCTTATTCGAGGGGTTTTTGGTGAGGGCGTTGGGATGGACTCTGTTGATGCAGTGGTTTTTGAAGTTGTAGAGAGAGATGTGGTTGG